TCCTCCGCAGTCTAACAGGTTCCCCTCATGAGGACATGGAGGACATGGCCTGCAGGTCAGCAGACTCTGCACAGAGCTGCTGTGTAGCTCGCAGCCCCAGGAACTGGCCTGGTCCCGGAGAACAGGGTGGGGTGGGGGGTAAACACAGCAATTAAGGCCACCTTCTAATTGCTGACCAATTAGCTGATAATTGAGCCTCGGGCATCGCCCTTTGGGAAGAGCGAAGAAAGCTCACAGGCTCCTCCCCCATGGAGCAGGTGCCCCTGTGGGGGGGTGTTGGGGGGGGGCACAAAGCCGGGCCCTGCATCCTGGAGGGGCCCGCAGGTCCTGAGCCTGGCCACATCCGCATACGCCTGGGCTGCCTGGGCTCCGGGAACAGCTGTGTGGCCAGTAACTGTGGAGAAGAGCAGCCCCACCTGCAGGGAGCGGCAAGCAACGCGCCTGGGCACGCCTGGGCTGAGGTGACGCCTGGGGCGGCTGCTGTGCGGCTGAGGCCCCTCTGGGGCAGTCCTGGCCAAGTGCAGCAGGTCCCAGCATGCTGGCAGCTCGAGTGGGTCCCCTCTTCCTAAGGCTGTGGGTCATCGAGAGGCTGTGAACCCTTTGCACAAATATCCACGCTATGAAAAAGCTGAGCATGAGAACTGTCATTAGGTTTCAGGAAACAGGACAGAAAACGCAGACCCAGGGGCTATTGAGTCCATACTGAGGCAGACAAGCCACATGGAAGCTGGGATAATTAGACCTCACAGGGTCCTGGTGTGGCTGTCCAGTCTGCCCATCAGTGACATCTCCCTAAAACTGTGGTCAGTTCTGTCATCACGTCCCCGTATGATTCCAGTGGTCCCCCTGGAACCAAGATGCAGAGGTCCGCCCCACAGGACCTGCTGCCGTCCAGTCGCCTGCCACTCCTAACCAGACAAACAGTTGTCTGGCCTCATGTCCGCACAGCTGTCACTTCAGGGACGTTAGATAAGGACAATCGTATAGCGTGCGACTCTGACATTGGGCGTTTCACCCAGCGAAGGCCTCTACGGCTCACTCAAGTGCCACTCGATGTCCTTGGTGTGGTCAAACCACGGTGGGTCAGCCACCCACTGCTGACGGACATCTGGGCTGTTTCCAGTTTGGGGCTATTATGAATAAAGTTGCTATGAACAAGTGTGTCCAGGGTTTTATGTGGACATGCGTGGTCATTTCTGAGGGACAAATGCCCAGGAATGCGACTGCTGAGTGACATGGAGACAGCAGGGCGAGTTTCCTATGCTCCCACCAGTGATACACGCAGATCAGGCTCTCTTGTACGTGTTGTTGGGTTTTCAATCACAGCCTTTCTGATGGCGGGGGCTACATCATTGGGGCTTAGTTCACATTTCCCTAATGGCTGATGACATCTGCTTAACTGCCACCTGGTGTCGTCAATAAAATGTCTCTTCATGCCTTTTGTCCACCTCCACATCTTTTAAACTGCATTTGCAAATACAGTTTATACATTAATACATTCTATTATACATTCTATTTCCTTTTAAACTTTGTCTGAATTAACACAATCTTCTCAATTAAATAACAGATGGACACCCAATTAATTAAACTTATGTATAGGCTATTCCAAAAATTCCCTTAAATTTTCTAACACCATATAAGAGTTTAGTAGGATCTGACTAATCCCCTCATTTGCACAATGACTTGGTGGCAAAGCTGACCCTCTCACAGGACAAGCTCTTGGGTACTACAGACATAAAATGTGTGCCGGCTCCATTTCAACACAAAAAGCACCAGTCGTGACTTTTCTTCTTTTTTTTTTTTTAAAGATTTTTATTGGGGAATCGGGGGAAGGGGAACAGACTAATTGCTGTCCTTTTGTTCTTCAGTCTAGTTGTGGAGGATGTTGCTTCACTGGTCCAAGTTGACACCATCATTGCGCTCTTCCCCGGGCGAGGCAGATCAGTCGCCGGCTTCTGGACGGCCGCTCACTGCAGCTGCTGGCCGCTCACGCTGGCTGCTGACTACACACGGTAGCCCATAGCAATCCACTGCCACAGGGGCTGCAGCCTATGCCATCCCAGGCAACTCACGGCAGCCCAGCTCCAGGTTGAGCTGTTGTTCAGCATCTTAGCTGTGGAGGGCAGTGTCACTGGCCCACATGTGGGATCTGAACCGGGGCCCTCTGGTGTCCCAAGCCAGTTCTTAACCAACGCACCACTCGGCTGGCCCCAGTTGTGACTTTTCAACGTTCCCACCATCCCCTGCCACACTGTCTCCCTCGACCCACAGTTTTTGCTAGGCACACGCCCACGTCCCAGGTTGCTCCCATGGCCCTCAGGGAGCGTCCCCACGGGACTGCTATGGGGGAGTATGCATTTCTGTGCCCTTAAGATAGTAAACATTTTCCATTTTAGTCTAGAGGTTTTTCTTTAACTTAATGAGCTCCCACAAGACGTCCTCATGTTCTCCACCTAACCTGGTGAAACCTCATGTTCTCGGGACCCCATAGCTCGTAGGGTTACTTGGAATGCTCCAGGACCATCTCTCTGGGTCTTGTCTGGGCCACACGGGTCACTGCCCATCCACATTTACCTGACAAAGATTTTTCCTCAACTTCACTACGTGTCCCATCCCAAATAAGTGTCCCAGGTCTTGTTGGGGCCCCCACCTACCCTGGAAGGGGCCAGGTAACCCCTACCAGCATCACAGGAGAGAGAGTGGTGCCAGGTTTGTGCAGGCTGGGCAGCACTCAGAGAGGGGCCCAGCCCTGGCAGCCCAACCTAACCCAGGCCCTAGCCTTCTGAGTGCGTGGGGGAAGCCGCAGTGATGAGGGGTAAGGCACTGGCACCCTGCTGGTGGCCGGGGCAGGGCATCACCCTCTGGGAAACGGAGTGGCAGTGCCCAGGCACAACTTCCGACGGGTCACTTCTGCCTGACCCTCTTCTTAGTGAACCACCCGAAGCAAAGGGCTGGTGTGAGGCAGGTGTTCACTTAGCAGGCATTCCTGCTAATAGAAGCAATTGGAGAGGTTACCCAAATACACAACTCAAAGGTGGTGCCACAGCCACTTACATTCCTCGTGTCCTAGTGCCCTGCCTGTTCAGAAAGGGCAGAGTGATGGACAAAACACAGGACAACAATATCAGTTGAAAACAAGTGGGGGCATAGAAGTGTGCTTTGACGCTGGTCCTCAGCGGCTCTGTGGGACACCCCCTCCCCCAACACCCAGCACTGTGAGCCTGGCGCTGTGACCAGAGCACCGCAGCCCAGAAATTCCCGCGTCAGGTGCCACTTTCAGACATGCGGAGGTCTGAATTATTATGCACACCTGTCTCAGGCGTGCGCTCCATCCAAAGGAGCGGAAGGTGATGCGTGCTGCAGGGGCCACGGGGACTCAAGGGCATCTCCAGGCTGGTGGTCTCCCAGAATGAGCGCCAAGTGAAAGTGCCGTATAGACAGGAGCACACGGCAGTGCCACGGGGGCTCCAGGGAGAGCAGGCCTGAGGCGTCCGCATGTCCTGAGGCGTGGATGGTGCCAGAGGGTCGCAGTCTGGGCCCCGGGTGCTGGCATGAAACGTGCGTGGGTCTTTATTTCCTGTAGGAGCAACTCGCTGGGCAACTTGTGCCAGCTTGGCTGTGACATTTCACATAGCTGATGGTGACCCCGGACACCAGGCTGGCTGCGCTGGGAGCGGCTGGAAGCAAGAGAGGCTGAGCCGACCTCACTCGGCGGCCTTACGCTGCTGAATGGCTACAGCGGAGGCTGGAAAGGCAGCACAACCATACTGTTTAAGAAAACAGGGCTCACTGCTCCTCACGGTCAAAGAGTTTATTTTTTTTCCCCCTGAGATGGAATTGGGAGTGTAGAAGGGTGGAGTGGGGGATAAAAATAAAAACAGAGAAACTTCTGCTTCTGGCCAAGATAGTCACAGGGACCAATCGCCACCCTGTCCCCCAACCACTGAAACCCAGACCAGATCCAGGAGGCAACAGTTTTCAATACAATGAAGCACAGTGGTCCCAAGAAATGGGACCTGACCGCCCCAGCTCACCGCCTTGTGTCCAGGTCGCGGTGCAGGGAGCAGACCCAGGAGGGGCCCAGAGGTCCCCTGAGTGGACGAGGAGGAGCTGGAGGTCCAGGAAGCCCCAGTGGCTGGAGCTCACAGGAGGTGGAGACAGACGGGAGGGCACTGCCCGGAGCACAGGCAAGCACCCAGACGCTGGCAGACAAACCAGAGGGCCCTGCCCAGTGGTGGGGACCAATTAGCCCCGGAATGAGCACAGCTCCTGAACCCACAAAGCTAAAGAAAACAAACCCAGAAGGATCAGACTGTTTTTGAGTCATTTCTGTGTGTCCCAGGACGAAGCTCAAGAATATTCGTGGGATTCAGAATTGTCCAGCACCAAGACTGTTTACTCCCCAATCCTCAGAGCCTTGGCCTTGCTCTGTCTGCCAGCCCTAAACGACCACCCAGGACCCTTACCCAACCTGAACCAAGCCTCCTCCTGACCGAACACCCCACTCCAGCCCAGCCCCCCGTCCAGGACTCTGCGAGGACGCAGCCAAGGAGGTGCTCGGCATCATCTTGCCATCAGGCTTTGGTAGCATCTTCACGGAACCCAAGGTCGACATTTCGAAGAAGCACTAGAGTACAAACGTCACCCTCTGATACTAAACAGTTTGTTGTGAGTGGCCGAGCTGACGCTGGGGAGACTCGGGCTGAAGCAGACAGGCTCAACGATACACAACACAACACTGGGGCCACTGCGTCCCCTGTCCTTCAGAAAACGGGCATGGAAATGGGACCAGCTCAGCATCTAGACCAGCGGTTCTCAACCTGTGGGTCGCGACCCCTTTGGGAGTCGAACGACCCTTTCACAGGGGTCGCCTAAGACCATCGGAAAACAAAAAGATATTTACATTATGATTCATAACAGTAGCAAAATTACAGTTATAGAGTAGCAACGAAAATAATTTTATGGTTGGGGGTCCCCACAACATGAGGAACTGTATTAAGGGGTCATGGCATTAGGAAGGTTGAGAACTGCTGATCTAGACGGTGAAAGACCTCTGGGGCGCAGGGCCCCACGCGGAGCCGGCAGCAGGCGAGCATCGGAGCAGGTATGCTTCTCCGACGTCCTGGTTTGTTGCAGCCCAGGTCCCTCTTGATCACACTGGCCCACGTAAGCTGTCACAATCCCAGGTACAATTCAGTTCTCAAACATTTTTATCATCGCCATCAAGTCACACCATTCTGAAAGCCTGCTCTCATCAGCGACCTCTGTATGGATGGGAACATGGGGTCATTCCGAGGCCTGACCTTGAGACATCGACTCCTGCCAGAGGCCAGGGCACCCTGGGGTCCAGCCTCCTGCTTCCAACTAAAGGAGCTCCGCAAATGCTGTCCTTCAGAAGAGACACAGCACAACTGTCCCTGTCCCTAATATTCTTGCTGGGAAAACAGCCTCATGCTGCAAGACTGGCGCTCTATTTACGTGGAAAACTCTGCACATTCAAATTTGGGTCAGGTGTCCTGAGATGGCATCCAAAAAGGGAAGAGAACTCCCAGGACTCAGGGTGGCCGGTGGGAAAAAGGCAGAGCCAGGGAGCCAGGGGCTGGGCGTGGGTGGGTGCCAGCGGTCCTGTAGCACCCATGGCCCAGCACACCCGCAGCTCCTAGCCCTGACCCGCACTCAACTCTCACCCAGACGACCTCGGGGACGTGGACAGGGTGCAAATCCTTTTATTGGCACACACCGACTCCGTTCACTGAGAAGTGGTGAGTGCCCGCTGGCACTCACAGTTTTGTCTAGGGCAGCTCAGAGGCAGAGCCTGGCCCACACGTGGAAATTCCACCTGCCTCAGTGTCATCCAGTTGGGACAAAGCCGGCCCAGGATGCCAGACGTCCTGTCACAGACCCCAAGGTCTTTGAGGCTGACTGTGGGGAGCATTCCCAGCCCCCTCCCTATCCCTGTGTCCACGGGGTGGAGCTTCAGCGAAAAGAGTAACCAGTCCAACAGGTTTCACTAGTTCAGAGGAGCCGAGGTCACACCTGTGTGCTTCCCATTTACTCAGTAACACGGAAGTGCAGGAGACCTGTGCATGACTGGGGTGCCCTTCCTGGTCCAGACCAAGGTCACACATCTCTCTGTTCAGACTCACTGGCCCAGACGCTGCTCTCAAAGTAGTGGCCCTTTAAGAAAACTGGTTCCCATCCAATGGCACAGAAAGCAGCCCATCAGCATCCTTTCCTGCCTGCTGTGTTCTGTGGGGCCAACCCTACTACCAGGGAAGGTAGAACCATGCTGGACACAGAAAGGGCCGAGGTCCGTCTCACTCTCTTTTCTCCTAGAAGCTCCCTGGCACACCCCTTCCCCAGGGGCCAGCTCTGCAGGCCCAAGGGGGGTTTGAAAGGGCAGTCGTGTGGGCCAGGCGCTGTGATATCCTTTTTAATCCTGACCCCACAAGGGTTCTACATCACATGTAAAAGCTGCCTGAGGTCTCAAAAATGGCAGCGCTGGGCTGCAAGGCAGCCCAAGAACAAAGATTCCTTTCTAGAGCTTCACAGCAGGACTTCCAGCGAGTAAACATTCCTGCCCAGCCCTCTACTGGGACCACGTGCTGGCCTCGCATCCAGAGGGCCAGCCGCCTCGAGTCTGAAAAGCCAAGATTTTGCAGGAGGCATAATTAGGAAACCTATTTTAACTTCACAGAGGGCTTTCTGCTTTAAAATGGGTAAGTCCGCCAGTCGAATCACACAATGGCGTCCTCGGCGATGCTCCTGTCACATGACCCTGTTGTCCGTGTAAAGCAGGTCACACCTGTTCTCACTTTCTCTAGTGAAACCAGAGGCAGCCAGCGTCCAGAATGGCCTCGGCTACAAACTGAAGCTTTCCATCTCCGCCTACCACCAACAGACAACGGGCACACCTGCTGTCTTCATTTTGCGACACTATGGGGAGGCGGGCCGAACCCCAGTCACCTGGGGTTCCCCGTTGGAACGCCTTGCGAGCAGCAGGGGGCGGAGCACGGACACCCCCAAAGGCCCGGCGGACGCCGCGCCTCCCGAAACGCGGTCTTCCGGGGCCTCGCCTGCTGGCTCGCCCGGCGGCTGTCCGGTCTCCTAGCAACGCCGAGACGGCCCGCGCGAGGAATCCTGGGAACTGTAGTCCATCCTTCCTTCCCCAGCAGGACTGAGGCGCCCTAAACCGCACTTCCCAAGTCGCTCCGCGCGGGCCTACCATGGCCTCGCGAGAACCCTTTGACGGAACCCACTGGCGAGAGTGGGCTCTCGCGGGGACCGCCGGGAGTTGTAGTTTGAGGCTGGGAGGAGAGTGCCCTGGCAGCCGGGCTGCGGCAGCGGAGAGACTACAAGTCCCAGAAAAGGCGGCGCGACCGCCTGGAGGGCGGGGGGTACGAAAGAGGAACCCGAAGGGCGCCGGGGTGAGTGAGGGGCTGGGGGGCGGGTG